GTTCCCAACAACGCACCACGAACTCGTGAAACTTAGCATGGAGTGCTTGGCCACCGTACTTCCAAATTTCAGGTGGGATTCTGTCAACCCCAGCTGCCTTGCCCATTTTCACCTGCTGTATTGCTTTAAGAGTTTCTCCCATGGTGGGGGCAGTATCCAGTTCAGTTTTCATTGGTTGTTGTGAGATGTGCTGCATTGCTGAGTCTTGAACTGCACGGCTAGTACTGAAGAGAGTCTGGAAGTGTTCAGAGCATCGATTCAAAATGGAAGCTTTGTCTGTGAGAAGCATTAGGCCATCTGTACTGAGTAAAGGGCTTTGAACCTGGTGTGTAGGACCATAGGCTGTTTTCAGAGCCTCATAGAATCCCCTGTAGTCACCTGTATCTGCGCATAATTGGATTTTTTCCGCTAGATTGATCCACCACTTGTTCTGGATGTCACAAAGTTTCTGTTGTAGCTTGCTGCATGCGAGTCGAAAAGCTGCTTTTCTTATATGACAAGATGGCTGAGCGAGGTGGGCTTGGTGAGCAGTTCTCTTCTTCCTCAACAATTCCTGGATCTCATGATTGTTTTCATCAAACCAGTCCTTGTTTTTCTTGAAAGAGAACCCTAAGGATTCTTCAGAGGACGGCAGAATGCTATTTTTAATAAGTTGCCGAAGCGCTTCGGGAGAGGGATCTGTGGAATGAGCTTCGAGCCTGGATTGAAGATTTACCTGGAAACTGTCCCTCATATAGGTGTTTGAAGACTGTTAACTTGAAGTCTCTTTCGAGGAATGCCACCCTTTTTAGGTTTGAACTGAAGGTGGAGGTTAAGTTTACAGTGTACAAGGTGATGATCTGTTTGGCATTCTGCACTAGGAAAATTATAATCTATTATATCTATCTCTCTCTCTATCTCTCTATCTACCTATCTATCTATCTATCTATCTATTTTTCTTTCTATCTATCTATCTATCTATCTATCTATCTATCTATCTATCTACCTATCTTATAATCTGTCTAATCTATCCATACCCTACTATCTATTGGCACACTGTGATGAAACTGTGACCCAGCTCAAGCCCTAAGGTGTGTTTAGGGCAGTCCCAGGCTGGTGACAGGAATCACTGGGTGAGCCCAGGCTGGCAGTGTGTGCTTGGGGCAGCCAAATGCCCGAGGTGCTG